TACTGGACGTTTAACTAACAGTAATCTTGAGACTGAGGCTTGCCTTTCGTGACGCCATGGGTGAATGCGTTGGCCAGTAATTATTGCATCACGAGATCAACTTGCCTGCTGGATTGTGAAGCAGTGCGCCCGGAATTGATCGAATACTGCCTTGAAACACATGAGCTCATCCCTCTTGGATAAACCCTTTATCGTTGGCTTATGGTGGGTTGTCACATCCACGTCGATGTCGCGAAACATTTCCCCTACGATGTGGTCAAGCTGACAGATGCGAAGAGAATAATTGTGGAAGATTATAGATACACCAAAAAGATTTCTCGCACATCTAAACGAATCACGTTAGATTTATGGGTGGCGTCAAGGAACGACCAATAAAATATTGGACTGATGACTTTTACCTGCTCCTATGTATCCTCCATAACCATTCTTTACCACACAAAGAGACTCTTACCTAAAATGGTCTTATATCGGACACTCAGATTCCTTATTGAGGTCAACTGGATAAGGAAATGAAAACACGAACCTGAAGTGCACGGTTCAGCCTTCGCCAAGCGGCTTCATGTTCCTCCTCGGTTTCGGCCTCCATCAAGCGTCGAGAGTTTGATAACAAATGTGCCTGGGAAGGGGGCTTTCTATCTACATCATTCGGCTGGAACCAAGAAAACAATTGAACAACGCGTATTGTTAACGCGAGCTCTCTCGATGGTGATTGGAAGAATTGTCTTAATGGACTACTCGCAATTAAGAAGAAATTACAAAAAAACACTCGGTTGCCAGGGTAACGCAAATTACTGAAGTACTTCGTTCTCCTGTTCATCAGTTTGGAGTACGTAGAACACCACTAAAAGTTTTATGGATTTTGCTGAATATAGAGGCGTTAATTCTCACGTGTAGTTTTATGCCGCGAACAAATCCAACCAAACTTGTTGATGAAACAACGATCCCACTGGAGAATTACCTAGCACCTTGAGCTTAGCAGGTGGTCAGTGGTAAAAAACTCGGTTCCGTCAGAGGGTGTAACTTTGATCCACGAATAATTCCAACCGGTTAAACGCTTGTCTGTTGGACTGATAGGTTTTCAACATCAGCTCGATTATCACTGACCATGCTACAGGCAATTATCAGACGTTACATGTGTTTGATATACGATTTGCTCGCTCCGCTCTGAATATGCAGACTGACCGCCATTCATTTAAATGCGTGGCTAACTATGAATTTGTCTGTCAGTTTCTATATCTGTTGGTCTGACTGCTGCTTATCTATCTATCTATCTATCTATCTATCTAT